TCTCTAATAGTCCAATATTAGTTGGAGGTTAACATCTACTTACCCTTAACAAATTGCATATAATAAATAACGCGATGTTCATGTAAACCGAAAAACCGACCGATATAGGGAACCAAAAAGAAAAAAAACCTCTGATCTGTAAAGACAGCATTCTTTTATGGATCGATTATTTTTGGTTCACGTCTAATGTTGTGGTGCGTTGTAATAATAATCCATGTTTTGAAGCCATGGATGATTCCCGAGTACTTCCTCCGGATTCATGAAGAACCCTTCAAGGCAATTTGATCCGTCCACAACCAACTCCTTGTTGTTCATAAGACTCTCGTCCACGATGAAACTGGTTGTATCCATTGTCATCTGGTTTTGAAATTCGGACACGTTGTTAGGTTGTGATATGCTTTGACGAGAGTACGAAAAATTCGCCATCTGGTTCCCAAGAAACTCGATCTCTTCTTGCAAAGTCACAACCTTAAAAATATCACATTCCCGTTAAGCAGCGTGATCGAATTCAGTGGTTTAGTGGTTTTGAGAGTACTCATAGTCACTAGTTCAATTTTATTTTAGAGAGATTTTTTATACCTCAAGCATGGTATTAATATGAACGAGCATTATGGGCTGAAGATCTTGAACTTCATAGTTCACAAAAAAGGATCAAATTGTTCCCAAACTAAAAGATTCAAAGTAAAGAGTTTTTCGTTTTCTCTTTTATCTCAACTAGACTATCTAATATGACTTACCACTGGTGCGTTCGGACATGGCCCTCTCCAATTTTTTTTTAAATTTTTTATGTCGGAAAGTATTTTATTTAAATACATATATGTTTGATATAATTTTTTCATACGATGTCCAAATAGCATGAGACGGTCTAACAAAAACAAAAGAATCATGTCAACAAGTTTGAGAGACCTGTTGATGAAGGGCAAAGATGTGAGCGAAGCAGCCATATACAGGATCATGCATGCGACTGAGAGCCTCGTAAGAAATGGTGATTGCGGCAACACTCCTTTGATGTAGAGGCAAATGAAGCAAATGCTTCGAGACATTGCTTGCACCAAAGACTTTGTGGACCGCTGCAAAATGGGAAGAGGCTTGCTCGTAGGTGAAGTAAGGTGCGAAGACGCAGTCACTGTTGCACTTCCTCCTTAGGAACTTGCAAGCTCCACAAGATGATCCATGAGCTGCCATTTTTGTTTTCTTTTTGCTTTGTTTGTTCTGTTTTTTCTTTAATCTTTTGTTAGCTTGAGACAAATCACGATGGGTTTTATAAGCCCCACCACTAAAAGCTTTTGAAAGAACGACAAAAGAGTTTTTGAGATAAACATCAATCACTTTTGTAACTTTTTTTTTTACTTACAATTGAATGATCAATCTCATGAATAGTTGAAACTTGAAAGGTACAACTTCACAAACACTATATAATTAAATCATTTATCGGAGACTAATTGTGAAACACTAAAATATATAGTTTTAATGCAAGTATGTTGTATGGATAGTTAATGACAAATGCCCGCGGTATATGGGTATTCAACCACTCTCTACCCCAAATATTAACTAATCACTATTTTTATGTAGCTTAATCTTATATATATATATACTTTTCATGATACCGTTTAGAAATCCTTAAAATTTAATGTTTTATGTATGAAATTAAGTCATATGTTCATTAATAATAAATCTTAAATTCTAATTTAATTAATATCTTGAATCACTCGGATCATATACCATATATCCTTGGATAATTACATTTTTTTACGGATATCCAAAATTCTACTTAATGCTCCATCCTTTTTACTTTAAAAGATGTTTAGATAAAATGCACACAAATTAACAAAAACATATAAAATATCTGTATAGCCTAATCTATTATCTTGATCAAAACAACAAACAAATAATTAATAATTTTAAATAAATAACTAACATTTTTCGCGTCAAATTTTGTAGACATCATTTACAATATTTTTTTTGGTCAACTAACAAAAAGTATTGTAAATGATGTTAAATACAATAACATATTTTTGGGTA